ATAGCTCCCAGCACCTGTCCCGGGGCCTTTCCTACTGCCATAATAGCTATGGAAGTTCAAAATAAGAGAAACACCCTACAGAGTAGGTTTTTGGGCTAGATGAAAGACTTCTGTTTAAAGAGAAGGCTAGCTGTAACTTCTTTAACAGCTTAGGTAGGTCTGCAGTCACTTCTAAAATCCCTTATCTACTTTTTTCCCTCCTTTTTTTTGGTATTCATTACCCCATAAAGATTCCAACAGCAACCAGTGTAAATAGCTGGCAGGTAGAATGAGCCAGACCTTCACCTCCGAGCTACAGCACGCTTCTCTCTTTTTAATTTATATCTTGTAATTTTTTGAAAGCAGCCAAAACTTCACACTCTTCCACTATGGATTAATTACAAGGTTGGGCACGTCAAGCTTTCACTATGGTAGAACAGAATTAAGAGTTGACGGGAGTTGTACACTGCTCCCTGGCGAGTGGTAGCCTCCTTACTTCAACATACTCACAGACTGGTTTAAAGATCTAGTCCAACCCCCTGCCATGGACATCTTTCACTAGACCAGGTTGCTCAAAGCCCCATCCAACCTGGCCTCGACCACTTCCAAGGATGGGGCATCCACAACTTCCCTGGGCGACCAGTTCCAGGGTCTCATCACCCTCATCATAAAAAATGTTTTCCTTATATCCAATCTAAATCCTACTACCCTCTTTCAGTTCAAAACTGTTGCCCCTTGTCCTCAGGCCCTGGTAAAAAGTCTGTCTTTCTTATACACCTGTATATTGAAAGGCTGCAATAAGGTCTCCCCAAAGCCTTCTCTTCTCCAGGCTGAATGACCCCAACTCTCTCAGCCTTTCTTCACAGGAGAGGTGTTCCATCCCTCTGATCATTTTCATGGCCCTCCTCTGGACCCGCTCCAGCAGGTCTAACATGGTGGGCTCCGGTGCAGGCAAATACCTTGAGTTACTTAAAGGGAAGATTATACTGGTTTCTAATTAGTCAATGAGGGGAAAAGTCAATTTTATGCTTAGGAGAGCACTGTTAATGAACATCTGGGTAATGGTCTGATTCACTGCAAAGCCAGCCCGCCTTGGAGCTGGAGGCCAGATGGTTGCCCAAGGCAAAACTTGCTGAACCTGCAGGGCCTGTTTGGCCACGGCACCCTTGTTTACTGTCGCTGTAGAGTCTCTGCGTGCACATGCACGGTATCGGGCTCACTCGCTATGCGGCATCGCAGCCAGGCTGGGCGCGCTAAGCACATGCTGAGCGAGGACGGCAGCCCCCACAGTGGGAAGCAGCTCGTTTGTACCTAGTTTGCCAACGCGGTGCTAGACTGTCTCAGCGTTTCTGCTTCTCAGCTGAGGCAAACCCTCTGCTGCTTGGCTGTTGGCAAGCCTAGTTGTTGCTCTGCTTCCTGCCTTCCCATATGGTGGCTTGGTAAAAAATAAGACATTTACAAGGAGCAGAAATTGTGAAGTAGGCTACTGAGAGGGGGATTTACAGTAAACACTAGATTGGGTAGTGTGCCTAGGTTGCAGTGAGGGCTCAACTTCAGGTTACTTACACACCCATAGTGGTAAAAACCTAGGAATACGCTGGGTCCCTGGCTGGCCATGGCTTACTGTGGCAGAAATCCAACCCTTGCAACTATTCCTCGCTGATAAGGTGAGCGAGAGTGCACGCTCGCAGCACGGCATGGCCTCCCTACGCTGCCCAGCTTGCCCTTGCCAGCCTGCCCCAGTGCCTCTCTACCAGGGAGGAGAAAGCAGATGGGTACTGGACTGAGTGGGAGGAAGCAGCAACTGCATGCTGGGCAGAAGAGGAAGGGAGCTTGAAAAAGTGAGGAGGGCCCCAACACTGGCAGCTGCACCTTCACCATGTCAATGTCTTGCTGCTACTCTCAGTAATCGTGTTTGGGAACTGCACTGAGAGAAGAGAGGACCTTCCTGCTCTTCTTCCTTTGCCCTGGGGTTCTTTCACCCCACATGCTCTCAGCAGCAAGCATGGACAGTACAACCACCATTCATTCCTCAGTGCTGCCCATCCGGTATCCCCTGGCACCTGCAGTGGGACATGATGGTAGATGGCAAATGGTAGTGGCAGAGACACCAGGAAAACTCAGCATGATGCACAACACCAACCTCCTGCTCTCCTGAGCCTTTCTAGGATCAGATTCTGGAGCGGTCAGGGCTTATAGGCCTGCTGCTATTCCCACTTGGAGCAAAGCTGCTGCTGGTGCTTCTCCACTCACAGTCACCGCGTTGCTTAGGTGGTCCCCTTTTTCTAGCATGTGCAGCCCCTAATGTTTGAAGGGCACCCATTTAAAAAAGGGTGTTAGGGGAAGGCAGGTGGCAAAGCTGCTGCTGGTGCTTCTCCACTCACAGTCACACCGCGTTGTAGGTGGTCCCGTTTTTCTAGCATGTGCAGCCCCTAATGTTTGAAGGGCACCCATTTAAAAAAAGGGTGTTAGGGGAAGGCAGGTGGCTGCTTGCGGCCAAGCGGTCCTGCTTCAAAGTACATCAATGTCATGCCCATGCAATGCTGGATATGGAATCAGCAGAGGGGCACAAGGTAAGTCATATTCTACTATGTTGGAAGTAAATTCTGATCATTTAAGGCAGCCAGGAAAGTTAGTTACTTGTTAGTTTTCTCTATGAGCTGTTCAATTCCCAAGGCGCACACTCCAATTCCCCTGAAGCAGCTGTTCCTAGATTTGTAGAAACCTCGACTCACCAAAATCAATTACATCAACTTTAATAAACTTCCCGATAAAAGACAGTTAATCAATTACCACTGTTTTCATCTGCCATAGGGGTTCTGCAGCTGTTTTTATTTTAAAACAATCCACTACTAAACCAGAATATGCAACCGGAATGAAGCTTATTAAATCAAGATGAACGGTGTGTGTGTAGAACAATCAATCTGTGATTGTACCAGGATGATGAACTACCCTGTTGTCCCAACTACTGCTGAGCCTCTACGCACACCACAGAAAATCCTCTCACAATGGCACTGGGGCTTGGAGTCACACCGCAGCCCAGGCTGCCGAGAAGTGCATGCCATACACTTCATTAGTAGTAGGGAAGTATTGTTTGTAACTCTGTAATTAAGATTTTTGCCTGAAAAATGCCTGTTTGCAGGAGGTTAGCTTTCTTGGTCTAGTTTTCAACTTCAATAAATGTCATTATAATAATGCATTGTACATAGGGATTTCAATTGCTTTTCTTTAAGCAAAATTAATTATATTTTAAATACCTCTGGCTCCTTTTTTCATTTGAAAGTGTGAAAAAATTGCATAGGCTTAAGACTAAGAATTCAAAGCTAATGTTAATTAAAAAAAATAAATACTACAAGAAATTAATGCATAATATGAACTAATTGGTATTGCAGTGGTGGGTGGGGGCGGGCAGGAAAAAACCCCTGCAGTCATGGTTTCTCTTGTGTAAAAGGGATGATCATTCAGGTGATTTTTCTCCCTAAAAACATGATAAGGATTCAGAACATGTTTAGCTGAACTTGTGCAATGCCATTAATTGTCCCAATCAAGACAGGAGGTTTTTGGGTTTTTTTTTTTAAATCCTGGAAGTCTAGAATCTGTGACCTAAAAACCAAACATTTTTCTGAGTCTTAAAGAACAGTTAATTAGCTGTTTTGAAGTCAATACAGCCTCATCTTTGCTTTTAGCCTAACTGTTTCAGCTACTAAAAATGCTAGAGTGGATTGTCCACAAGTGTTTTAGCAACCATCAAGACAAACATAATCCAGAGCAAGTTTAGCAACCACAGACTTACTTAAAGTTGCAAGAATCTGTTTAATGATTTCAGTGGTAACCAAGTTGGGTTGAAAAGCAGCCTGTCTATCCCTTGAGCTCCTAATGTTTTTGGCATTGCAGATAATTACAGTTTGAGATGAAGAGGATTTCAGGCAAACATCCTGTGTTATGAGTGCAAACTAGCACTCGTAAGTGTAGGTGGACCTCAGCATAAACCTTAGGTATTTCCCAGTTAATCTACTTTGTAGATGCCTTATTCACTGCCAGAGCCTGCAGCCCAAAGTCAGGAGTTCAGGCTCCCCCCTAATGCTCAAGAAAGATATCCATCTCTGAAAAGACGGCTTATGGAGCAAGGAACTGCCAGTACCAAACAGTAGGAAATACTGTGGAGGGAATCAAGTTTTATCTTTAGAAACAAACAGTTAGGCATCTACGTCAGCTTCCATGTCTTAATTACCAGCCCCAGTGCCGGGGACCTGGGTGGGCTGGGTACTGTGCAAAGAGAAGACCCGTTTTACGTGAAAATATACTGCTAAACATCTGAAGAACTCTGGCAAATGCTGAAGTACCTTGAGACTTCCAGGATATGGGGTGGGACTTTGAACACTACAGTTTTGTACAGAGGTATTTAAAACTTGCTGAGGATTCAGTCAGCTGAACTCTAGTCAGTCCAAGCCCCCCATCCACTGATAGCACATAGCTTTTTAGCTAGGAGGTATCAAATGCGCATTAATGCTGCTCAGCGCGGCCATCAAATGATGTTCTGTTGCATTTGAGAAGCAGCAGGTCAGTTTGGTTAACTTCTATATTTATATAGTTATTTTCAGGTTTCCAGTGCAGGTACTTAGTTAGCTAATAGACCACGAGGCAAGGATTAACTAACTGGGAGTGAAAAACCTCACCAACGTAAAAGGAAAAGTAACTGAATTAAAAAAGGCCAAATACAATAAATGGCAAAGGAGGTCTTATCAGTACATAGAGCAAATATGCAGAACTTATGATCTTAAGCGGCTGCTGACACATCCTTTTTACCTTCCTTTGCTGTAAAAGGCGGGTGGGGAAGCAAAGGGACACCGAGCGAGTTCAAATTTTCTTACTGTCCTACTGGATTACTATTCAGAAACAGCGTGAGGTAATAATATGAATTATTAGGTACTGCCTAAAAACGGGTCATATCTTTTGTCTTCAGACGCTTGTTACGTACCAATTCAACAGCACACCAGCATTCCAGTGGGAATAAAAGGCCTTTTTTGTCAAAATCATTTTATTAAAGAGTTAATGTCACAACAAGCTCAAAATAACACATGCTTCAGAAATAAACTGGATGAAAAATACTCCGAACAGAAATATGAATGCTTTGAAGGCATGGTAAAGCATCAGTTGCAAGAAACTTCTGCAAACAGGTGCAAATTCTGTTGGTGCAATGGAGAAAAACCTCAGAAAAGAAGCCTGCTGGGCATGACTTCTGTTTATGTAGTGCAGTTTGCCTAATAAGTTAAATCAGAAAGGGCACAATTTCCATGGCTGCACAGACCCAAATGTATTTCTTCAATAATTAGCCCCAGCACAGATTTTTCACTGTGAGTACTAACAAAACAAATTTAGTTGACATCTTAACATAGCAGTAATATATATATTATATACGTGATAGATGTTTGACTCATGCTGCCTCCTCAGTTACATTTTTTTTTTATTTATTTACTCAAGAAACATTATAAAAAAATAGGTTTGCAATTTGTATTTCACTCCAGTGTTAGCTCCGCATCACCTCAGGCAAAGACAGTGTTTCAGCAGATAATCTAATTTGGCAAGAAATCTGCCCTAATTCTTAACCTCATTTTTGTAAATCCACGTAGAAAATAAATGCGAACTCTTTATACAAAACAAGAGCAAATAACTGCACCTATATAAAAGGGGAATCATTCCCTTTAGTTTTATTATCATGGCACATACTTTATAGCTTCACAACAGCATACTAATTTTCGTTTAGTTTTTTTAACCCCCAAAATAGTGTTGATGAATGGAAGAATGTGAGTTACCATAGGCAGCTGACTCATGCATTAAGCAATTCATGTTCTTTATCAGTTTTCCCAACAGCATCAGGATTGGATAACGGGTCAAGGTCAGCAAAGAGACTGAACCAGGCAGTCAAGTCTTTAGGATTCTTTGTAGGATCTGGAAAAAAGAAAAAAAGAAAAGTACAGCCTTGTCAGCTATTTTAAAACAAAACTGACTCAATGTTTGACTGAGGTCAAACAAACGCCATGCTATTGTTTAATTTATTACTAAGGGCACTTCTGATGAGAAAATCGGAACGAGTGATGGCATTTTAAAACACTACCTTTAACAGAATATGGAACTTTAGTAAGAATGAATGTTTTACATCTGTCTGCCTGTGTATTTTATATCTCCTCCTTATATCACGGCTCCTACCGTGATAGGTACAGGAACACTTCAATTAAAAATCAAAACAATCTCGCTCTGTCTAGCTTTGTTTCATGAAAGGCATTTTATTTGTGTGTGCACCTGCGTGCCTGCAAAAAAGTAAAAGGAAAGTGATTTTACTTTCAACCTCTCTTACAGGACTAAATTCCTTCGCCTAAATCCAGTTCATGTGACTGTTCTGTCCCCCCTGTATACGACCACACAAGGTCATTACTCATCTGGAATGTTTTAATGGGAAGGTATTGGCTGGAGAGAGAGGGGGTACATTTCGTAGACAGTTCCAAGTACAGCTTCTAGTATTAGGGTGTACTTGTTGATGGATGTAAAAAAATGTGAACCAGGAATACGTTCCAACAGCAGCTGGACTATTGCATCTATGTGTCTATATTGACGTACAGATTTCACAGAGGTCTCCTACCTTCTCTTATTCCAACAGGGCAGACGTTCAGGGTAAAGCGATGACAACTTTGGCTGCTATAAAGAAGGTACATCACCGCTTGCTTTTTTTTTGTGATCCTATGCTTAACATGTACTATATTGATAGTGAAATAAGATGCGCTCTTTCACTCAGAGAGATAATGTTGCATGAAAGCATTCTTTGTGACACAAGGAATTTACGGACAAAATAGGCTCCGCCTGGCATGACTTTCACCTTGGTGTCTGCAAGGCTGGAGTACCTGCCACTTTCATAAACACAGATTTCAGAGTAGATGAAGACTGTTCCTTCTTCTGGTGAAGGTACTGCGGCTGTGTATCACACTCATTTCCAAAACAGTTTCCAAAACACCTTAACCCTCTTTTTTTCTGCTGAGCTAAAAAAAGTCAGTCTTTTAATGCCGGGAGGCAGGGGAAGGAATACACGTCACTCCTTTCTTCTGCACTGAACATCTTTGACGTAGCTTCTGATCAAATGTGAATGCACAGAATAGGCTACAAACTGGCAATAAGGATTCAACATATTTCTGATTCATTTATCCAGAAAACCCTACTCAAAATCAGCAGGGCTCTGTCTCAGTAGATGGCAGGACTACGCACTCTTGGCTCAGTTGCAAGAAGTGAATTAAGTTTCAAACAGATGATTACTGATATGATGTATGTTATCAACTAAATTTGCAATTAGGGCTCTTCTGCCTTATCAGTAGCCTGTATTTTAGCCACAATGTCCTCCTAGAGCTTCAAAACACTGTTTAGCTTAGACAAAGTGCATGCGGATGCTATTCTGTGTGACTCAAAATTAAAGTAGCAAAAGTAACTGTAGTTTCAGCTCCCTCATTTTATAGTAAATTACTCTTTTGACATACTACTAGCACTGAAGCCTACCAAAAAAATACACATACACATACATATCACGCACATAATCAATGCTGAAACAGTAATTCATTAGTAAGCACAAGATTCTTGACATGTAACTACTACAAAAATAGGCTTTATCATGATAGAGTAACTGAGAAGACTGGAAAGATACAAGAGTCGCAGCTAAAAAGGAAAAGCAAAGTAACTGAAAAAATACATGACTGTATCACCTTTCACGGGCGTCTTGTTAGCATTCACATTCAGGCTGTTTGGTTTCTGTGCTGGCTGGGGGATAGGGGGGGGGGGCACGCCGGCGGGCTCACGCTGTTAGCTGCCCATCCTAAAATTCAATAATACAGCAGCATTAGCGTGAAGCATTACTTCGTTAACTCCAACACCCCACTGCCTGGCAGCACAATGCACACATCAGATGATGGAGCAGAATATTGATATTATGGTTATGGCCATTTGTATCTTTCCTCGTACACAAGAAATCAGCAGTCAGATGCTGCAGACAAGCAACATCCTTGAGAAGAGAATATCTGTGGATCAGTTGCATCACCTCCAGATTCAGGCAACTGTATTCTTTTCAAACCTTTAACCTGGCTAAAAAAGGTTTTTTTCTTATTTCTTTTATCCAATCACAGTTAATACTTGTTCACGGAAAGGCCAGTACAGCAATCAAGTCAAGTATAGCTGTAGGGAGAAGAATATCACTTACATTTGGGCAAAAATATCACACATACTAAACATTTTTTCCACCTTTCTTTACTTTCACAGTTCCAAAGACTTTCATTTCATCTATTCCAGAAAAAACATATTTAGAGACCCTAGATTTTTTAGTTAATTTTGAAATGATTAATTCTGAAAAAAATAATTTCTTGCAAAACACTTTGAAGAATTAAATTCAAGATGCACTACTTTGAGTTAACTTAAAACTAGGTTTTAATGGAGTATTTTTTTGTTCTTAATTTGAAAGGATCTTCTCAGCAGGGAGAGTAACTATGCAGGAAAAAGTGAAACTGGGTGTTCACAATTTTTTGTTCTTACATGCATATTCCATAACCACAAAATAGTAATGATAAATACAGTTAATGAGGCCAGATGAGCTAGGCTGGCAAAATGAACTAGGGGGGGCGTACCACGGAAACGTATTAGGAAAAAACGGAGCATTTTTGTCCCTGGCTGAAGCTATTTAAATTCTTACGCTCTATCACATTTAGAGGACTGGAGGCCGTATTTCCAATTTCAGTATTATCTCCTTTAAGTGTGGCCTGATCAATTATCCATCCATCTCGGGGATCTAGTATATCACAATACTGATCTGCAGTACCACAAACAGGACATTCCTCTGTGCACACAGCCAGCACTTCCTTACCCAGTCTCTTTTTTCTACAAGTTCATGCTCTCACATCCTTTTCTACTCTCTTTGTCCTTCCTCTCCTTACGTTCTCCTCTTCTGAGACCCCTGTCAGATATTGGTACCCAGTGTCCTGACAGTTACTGTAACAGCCACGTAAGTCCCATAAACCCTTCCTCTCTCTAACAGGTTATTCTCATCACTCTCTGATCTTACCTTGACTATAACAGGTCTGAAGCCCAAGCTGTGTTATTAAAAGGAGGCAAGAAGAGTGTTTCTATAAAATCACATGAATTAGGAAGGAAATTTAAAGCCACAAACATCCTCTGTATCTCTAAGGAAACAAACCAAAAACTTCTTCAAAATCTGGATGCATAATGCTGACGTATATTTGTTTTAGGCAAAGGTGATAAAGGCTTAGGAGCTAGACTGTGCCTCCTGAAAATGAGGTTTTAGAGTTTAATCTTTCAAATAAGCCAATTTGAATCATAAATAATGAAAAGTATGGCATTAACACTTCAGAATGACATACTTTACCAGGCATTTTCTCTGCTTGCGTTACAAAAGAGGAGAATGGCAGAGGACATTACACACAACTACAGGAAACTGTAATGCTTTCGTTTGTTTGGAGATGTATTGCAAGAAAGTGTTTTAATATGTCAGTGGATGGCAATGGAGAAACTGAGCAGCTTAAGTGAATGGGGCCAAATCCTAATTTCATAGAAATGAATGGGAGTGCTGCCCGGAAACTTTCTGTGCAAGTCCCACTGACTTCAGTGAGATCAGGAGTTGGCTCCCCAAGACCTCCCTGATGTTCGTTTACACTGATGTGACTGGCAGACCACAGAGCGAAACACCGCAGACCAGTTAACTCTTTTGGAGCCCTCCTTTTGAGTCCCTGGACTAAGGCTGGGTGAGTAGCACGTCCGTGAGAGATGCTGTGGTCTGGTTCTCTGTTCACTGAAACGCAGATAGCTCAAGTACCACTTAGAAAACAAAAAGAACCTAACAACAGCAACAAAAACATCTAACCAAAAACGCTCCACAAAATGTGTGATGCTTTCATAATGAACTTACGCATCTATGAAGGTATTGGGCAAGGCTGACACAGAATTTTTACTTTCATGAATTAGGTTTTTAGTGTCCCTGGGCAAGGCTGACACAGAATTTTTATTACTTTCATGAATTAGGTTTTTAGTGTCCACTCACAGTGAGCTACAGAGATGCCTTTCTAAAACAAACTGCAGCCTATCAATTTGAAAGCAGTTGTTGGCCTGTTCTGGTTTGCCTGTTCACAGGATGGCTTCATTACGTGACTAGACAAAAAGATTATCACCGAGACAGCAAGGAAACCAAACAGCTTACTTTTCACCTAGCGTTTTCACAAACGTTACCACAATTAAATTTAGAAATGGAAATGGTGAGCTGCACATTTTCTTACCAACTAGAATATATGCACATGTAGGTAAGATAAAGAGGAAGCCTTAGTGGTATGAATAAGTAAGTAAATGAGGCCATAAACATCACGAAAGAGAAAGCCAATGCTCTCTGTGAAAAAGTGGAAAGGCAACCAAACTACAAAGCTGTATCTGGAGGGGAATCTAAAAGATTTGTTGGGAGCATGCTTTGTTTCTAAAATATATATGTGTATATATATACAGGCATTTATATATATTTTAAACCAGCACCTGGTAGTCCTATAGCAATTCAAAGTCTCATTGTGCTAGATCCTGCCTATAAATACAGCCAGAGAAAACTCCGAGCTGGGAATTCCTGACCGTAACAGTTTATAACCTGCATAGCATTGTGCCTGTTTTACAGATTAAGATCTGAGGCAGAGAGAAAACAAAGCCCCAAAGATTTATGAGTGTGCTTAACGTAAAATAAGTAAGTAATCCCACTGAAGTTAATAGAAAAGTTAATGTGCTTAAAGTTAAGCATGTGAGTTTTAAGAATCTTTATGGTCTTAAGGCCAAATTCACACAGGAAGTATGCAACGTCGAGGCTCCAGTTTAGCACCTCACACTGAGTAATTATTAAGCAATCCTACCAATTAGGGGGGAAAAAAGTGTAGGATATGTATCACAACTCCTCAGTAAAAATATCCATAATTCATATATTCTAATATTTTCAACTTGGATTTTTAGATATGTTTATACTGCAGTTAGTATTTTGTTAAAAAAAAAAAAAGTCTTTGTTTCCAAATTCATTGACAAGGTCAAATCATGAAAGAAGTGCTGTGAAATGAAATGCAGTTTAAGATTAAAGTTGAGATTTCACAAGATATAAAATGGACAGAATTTCACCTTTTGTTATAAAATAAGAAACAAAAAACTTAAAAAGAAAATAGCCTATGAAAGTTAGTTTAAATAATGCATTTTACCTGGCAACTCGAGTCAGCTGGGAACATGCTGATTATTCAGCTGATTAGCTGTGACTTTTCAAAAGCCAGTAGATCAATTACTATGATCTTCTGCCAAAGCCTTGGAAATCCATTTGAAAACATTAACATATTTTATTCTTTCAATACATATCTATACTTTTTCTTATTCAAAAAGATTTTGGGATACCATGTTGACTGGAATGGATTTTCCATTTCTAGTGTTCCTTGAATGCAACATACCTGAGTTCTGATTTTGAAGTGTTAACAGTGCAGCCAATGCCAGTGTCTTGTGCAAATGAGAGCGATAACAACAGCCTCAAAAAGGATACCCAGCCCTGTTTGCCATTTACACCTCAAAAATATTTTTCCTTCAAAAACATGTTTACATTTAAAAACATGTAAAAACTCTGAAAAAAAATCAATCCCATAATATTTCTGTTGCTATTTTCAGTAATTTGCTTAAAATCTGTTTAAGTCTCTGTATCGAGAAAGGTGTTTTTCATTGTTCCTTTTTCCCCTTTTAATAGATACCATGTCTGCTTCTGGTCACAAACTGTTTAATTTGCCAACGCAATGACTAAACCTCATGATTTTTTAGCTCATATTTTATGAGGTCAAATCCTACACTCTTCCAGTCCCTTTTCACTCTATCAATCATACTCATATATGCATGTACCTTATCATAAAAATACATCTAGAACTGTGCATCATCGCAAATATCACTCCCCCAGTTTCCATCTAAGTGTTGAAGTCAGTGAACCCAAATATCTTGCTTTAGGGGTGGTGGTGGTGGTAACTGTATTAATTGTAAGTTTGAATTTCTTATTCTTGCCAAAATGCCACAGGTCGTGTTACATCATGTATGATTGTACCAGTTGCATGAGTTCCAAGGAGTAGTCTTCAGGATGGAATCAGCCTGCTAGTCTTTCCTACATCACTCTTCCCCAAATGAGATTTAAATGACTTGGGACAGAGCCCAAAAAGGCAAGCTCCTCCTCCAGCTTGCAAAGCCATAGGAGAAATCTAGCCAGACTGCGGGGAGGACGAAGGTAGCTGCTGTTGGCTGGTTATCACCAGCCTGCCTCCCTCCCTCCCTTCCTCAAGGCCAAAGCGGCAGCAGGAAAGCTCTGCCCTAGTTCCCCTCTTTCCTTTCCTCTCCCCCCAGGAGCAGCTTGGAAAACCCAAGAAAATGAACTGCACAGAAGAAAGGGGAGAGAAAGAGTTGCATCAGTAGATAACCTGCCTACAAGAGGAATCCACCTGTACTGTTGCTAGGATGAGACAACCCCTTCTACCTTACCCACACGCAACAGTGTGGGATCACTGAAAAAACCAAGAAAATGAATGAGTGCAATCAATTTTTACTAAGTTGTTTAAAAATAGTATTCCCAGACAAAAGACAGTAATCATTTTTGGTTATTTGGCCCCTTAACAGAGACAGCAGTTGTAATTTAAACAGTAAAACCCACTCAAACAGATTTTCTGTTACAGAAAAAAAAAAAATCTCAAAGGCCTACAAACATTTCAGGAAGCTCAATGAAAATATTCAAACCAGTAATTTTGACTTCAGGTTTTAGGGTACTTCGTTCACAAACACTGAATGAGCAGGGCTAGAAAAACGAATATGCTACTCATGTTTTTCTCCAGGCCACACTCTGCTTTAACTTCAGGGTTTCTGCCGCTATGGCACAACATAAGCTGTCACCACACTTCTACATAGCAGAAAACCATACTCTAAAATCTAAAACCAAAATACTAACAGACAAGATGAGCTCTCACCATGTAAAGACGACTGCAAGTCATTCATGTTTTGGTCTAACAGCTGTGAGGGCAAGAAGCCTGATGGTGTTGGTGCCACAGACGATAAAGTGTTCTCCACATCTCCAGCTGAAGAGTTCGTGGTGAGATCAGCAAGTGCAACCTGTCCAAAAACAGCTGTCCACTCTTTGCTGAATTCCCCCTCGTCCAGGGAGGAAGCGTTGAGGATCTCATTCAGTAATACCATGTCATCCTTATCACCAGGTTCTGACTCCAAGGACCTCACAAACTGATCCTTTGAAGCTGTCTCAGAACAAGAGAGTCAAGATAAATCCTTTTTTAGACAAACAAAGAAGGAACCTGTTTAAAACATCCAATCTAGGTTTTGTATGTTAAGTGAGATGGAATTTTTTTGTATGAATATTTGTTGTTTCTCTTTTAGACCCAATTCTCTTGGACATCTGGGCTTATAGCTTATGCAACAAGTAATTCCTTGGTTATCTTAGATAACCTCACTGCTGCTAAGACTCATTTCTTATTAAAAACAATAAGTATGCTTAAAAATCTATTAAACACCACACCAAAATCATTACATAGTCTAATATTTAAAACATTGGAGAAGACTACTTTTATGTTGCTTTTTGAAGCATTATATAAAACTGTCAAAAAAAAATCAGATTGGTATAACTTGGAAATAAGTAAGAGCTGGGGATTATTCTAGAATTTTGTGAGAACATACTTAAGATGACCTTTATGACCTTCTGACCAATGCTTGAATTATTGGGGTATTTCCCCAAGAGAACAGATTACTCTACACAGAGATTTCTACACTGTTCAATGCTGTAGTAACTTTTTTTTCCTCTCTTAGGCTGCTGTGAAATAATTGGGGCCACTTTCCTTCTGATTCCCCTTGCTAGTTTTTCTAGCACCAGAACTACAGTGAAGTAGTAGATCAGAGTGATCTAAGAGTGATCTTAGATCACTCGAGCCATTACTCCTTAAAAACAATTTTTCCTATTTTAGAAATGTTAAATAGTTATGTAAAATACATGAAGCTTGTAACCAGAAACGTAATCCTTTTCTCTAGCTTACAAAATATTTGGAGTGAAAGAACTGTCAAGGAACCCCAAGTGTTATTTTACTTGGAAACATTTAGAGCTCCACTGCGGGAGTATGCAGAGGACAAAAATGGTGGTTAACAACGTTGATAATGCTATGTTACCGAAACCCAGATCAGTTTATCTTAATTATGTTCGTTTCAAACTTGTGGTAAGGCACAGAAGCAACTTCAGTTTTCCAAAGTTCGGATAGATCAGCTGAGCTCTGCGAGTTGAATACAACTTGCAAAAGATGGTTTTAACCCTTTTGGGTTGGGATAAAAGATTGATAGTAGCAAAGCGGTTGCAACAGGCCATTTTATTTAAATGCAACGGCCTTCTCAGGAAAGTTCCTTTTTAATAGCTGTAATAATTTATAATGAAATGGCTGAAGTTGAGTCACAGGAGGAAAAAAAGTGCAAAACTGTGTTTTAAAATAGGCTGATGAGTCAGCATACAGACCTACGTACTAAGAAACAAATAAACCAACGCGTAATATAAGGATTTTATTCATTACTGAAGTCAGCTCTGAGGTTCAGCTCCTTTCTAATTCACATTTTTATATACCTCTGTACTCCCTGACAGGGCCCAAAAATTAGAAACAGAAACATTACAAACACGTCAATTCTCCTGATGTTCCACTAGACTATAACTAAAATACCACAGAAAACAATTTGTTCTCATGAATTTTCAGGCTGCTTTCCTATCTTCAGATAAACAGCAAAGAATGTTAACGTTGTCCAAGGACCTACAATTCCCCCAAGCTATTCAGCAGGTGAGGCAGAGGGGTAAATCCTTCCTTAGGGGAAAGTCACTTGCTATTTCAAAGGCACTTAAGAACTCTGATCTCTTCGGGGCATCACCATCTCAAAGCTGCTTTCAGGAGGCCCCTGCATGAACTTGGAAGGCTTACAGGGGGAGATGCAAAGAGAGCATCGTTAGTAACAGATCTGCTAAGGCATACCGCCAACACTGTACCTAACCACAAATGACATTTACTATAATGGAACAAAGGCTTTGCAGCAACACAGCTCAGAGCAAAGCTCTACTTCACCTGGGTATCCCACTGCAGTAGTCCCATTTTTACTGGGGGAGAAAGTACAACATACAACTTTACATCTGAAGAGCAGTTAGGTCTTGCAGTAGTGCGTACGACCACCAGACGCCAGAGGAGCGACACATTTCTTGTCTCAGCAGTCTTTCTGATCTTCCTGCAGGGACAACGCGCCCGGGGCAGGGGAGGATAGGGTGGTGCTTACGCTCAGGCTGCCTCATGTGAGCACCAGTAAGTTCTACTCTAGTTTGCAATAAGACTATCTTGAAACCAGTCTTGCTCATCGAGATATTACTCATGTGGTATCTCTGCTAGATTTCTAGAATGATAGGGACTTTCTCACCTCACCCATAAATCTTCTATTACTTCTTTTCCTGGTTCTCTGTTTTCACTGCCCATTTTCACAGTCAAAAATCCTTTTTTTGTCTGCACATGCTGCCCCTAACCTTATAAATGTCCATGGAAAAAACCCCAAAACTCCCAATAAAACACTGAAAAAACAATGTCATTATATTCTTTTTTGTGGTTGTTTGAACAAGCCTCTAGCAATGCTCATATTTCTTTGCAAACGTGCCTTGTTTTGCTGGTATTTAAAAAAATTAAATGCAAAGAGAAACTAAAAATATTTACAGCGATACATGATCGGAAACACAGGATAAAGACTTCCTTCTGAAACACACACAAAAATGTACATCTAACTATACTGCTGCACTTAAAATAATACAATATTCATTAGCCTAAAGCTAGCCAGTGTGTAAAATTAGGGTAAATAACTGATATTGTAACATGAACGTAACCATCCTTATGTGATGTAGCCGCCCCACAACTGCTTTCGTATTGATCTATTTGACTAAAGAAAAAAAACCCCAGCCATCTAACTGCCAAAGCTAAACTTGTATGACCAATAATTGCATGCATTATCTGTATCTCCACGAAGAAGGTCCAACAAGGAATGGAACTGAGTAAGGGGGAAACCAGAAGAAAAAAGGCCACTATCAGACATGCACTGACCTTTTTTATTAACCACAGAAAAGAAGTCATCGCTACCTTATCTGTCCACAGATTAGGGCTGCCTTCTGCACAGGCAGCTGAGGAACTTTCCCTCTTTCTGCCTTCATGGGTGATCCCCCACACGGGTAATTTCCCCACAGTGCAAGAAACTGACCACGGCAAATCCAAAGTCGAGGTGTTTGCAAATGCTCTCTTCCTTACCTCCCATGATGGCAGTGCCTTAAATACCCCAAATTACACTCTCAGTCTGACTGACTAAACCGCAGAAAGGGTTTTTTTTTCTTTGCTTCTTTACTTGCTTTTTGAGTTGCCACAGTTGTTTTTGTTGTTGTTGAAGTTTTTTTTACTTATTCTTCTGAGATACACGAGTGAAAAGCAAATGAGAAATTATAGGCAATACTCCTTTTGCATACGAAAACTCAGTATAAAAATTCTAGCCAGATCTTTCATATGTTACACGGTAAAACAGTACCCTTTGGAAAAAAATAACACATCCCCTTGAGCTGCCACTGATCTAACAAAAGCATAAGGATAGGAGTAGAGCCTGGACTGAAAGAGTGCTTTCTCCTGTGTGTATGAAAACAGCACAGCAGATTTAATTAAGTATCTAGCTGAAAGAAATCACCGCTTCTTATATGGTTTTAAGAGGACTAAATAATTTGTTTCTGATACGTACATTTCTGATATAAAATCTTGTGGTTACTAGTTTATTGCCAAGGGTTGTGATACAACAACTAAAGAACCAAAAATAAAAGTTTGTGAAACGTTATAGGAGGGGTAAGGTTTACAGTGGAACCTACTTCAGTGGGGCAAATATGATATAGTCCGGTATACCTAACCTTGAATCACCTGTTACAATGCATTTTATCCCCAGTAAGGTTTACTTCACATTATAACATCAGGAACAGTGCCTCTGCATGTATATGAAGTTGAGTTTCCTTTAACACTGTTTAAATACTGCAACTGAATAATTTCATTCAACCTTTCAGATTATGAAAACAATTAAGATCTAAGATTAAAATTACACTTGGTGCCTGTAATTGAAAAGCAGATGAAACAGGCATGCACAAATGTTTCATACCATTTTCTTCAGGCTGCAGGTCTAATAGGTCATCTATGGTACCTAAGAGAAAAAAAAAGAAAAAAAAGAAAAAAAGAAAAAAGAAAGGCAACAAAGGAAGATCTGCAGTACACTGACAATCGGTATGTATACATCTAAAGGTAGTTTTCTTAAGTCTCTTCACCTGAGTTCTGCTTGTGGTTACAATTTCCTTGTAACGTGGATATGACATCCTTGCCATTGTCAGCTGTAATCAAGATCCATAAACATGTCAAACTGCACTTGGCACAAGACCATGCTTATAAACAATGTCACTATAAGATCAACATGCAATGGTTGTTAGTATTCATGTTTAAAATTAACCTGGTCACAATGCATGAAAGTCCCAAGCTATAAGCATTTCTAAGTGAGGAAAATTTCTGAATAATAACCTGGGGGGGATCTTCCTTTGAATCACTGCCTGCCACACTAGCCCATCTCCAGGCTGAGGGCACCCAACCGAGGCAACTGCAAGAATCAGACAGGTCTCTGCTGTCCTCCAGAAGCAGAGAGACTTCTTTTAGAAGCTTGTACTTACGCAGGCCAGGAGAGAGCACAGAAGTGCCCAGAACCTCATCACTCCCTAAATCGCCTTCCTTAACAATATGTTCTTCCTCATGACGCCACCTCTGGGAATGGGGAAAAGGAATCTTCCCCCAAAGCACCCCAGGTCAGGATATAAGTAATAGCACCTCTTCTCCTGCAGGAAAATAAATGGGCTAAGACCAATAGGAGGGAAAATATATAGCTGAGGGTTATAGGCTATCAGAGGTGAAAAAACACCACTGCGCCCCAGCTGTAACTACCTTAAGTTCTGAGCAAGTTTCTTAGATCAGACATGGCGTCAAAACAATCATCTGCATTCTGTCTGTCGGTGAAGAGAAAGACACCTCCCTCAGGTGATTAATACCATTTAAGATATGTAGCAAAACAGGAGGGATGAGATACCTGCTGAACATGCCTTTCTCTCCCCATTAACTGTTGAGGAAATCTAGCTTCTAGACAAGTAAGTCTGGAGCTCTAAAGGCAAATGAAGGGGTTGGTCACAGTATTGCCAGAACTGGAAGGCAGATCTGCTGGAAGCCTCAAATTTGAGGCTGGAAAGGAGAAATAACATTCTCTCTATAGAGGAATAATAATTGAATGCCAAACTCTTTCAAGAGAAACTTCAAGGTTCGTTCAGAACTAAATGAAACAGAACAGCTTGCTGTTTGAATCATATTATTTCAACAAGGCTTTGCTAGGACAACGACAGAAATGTGCTACCAGCACTAGAGTCAGCTGGTCATTTAAGGACCCACGATCACATCTGGTTACACTCTATATAGATATAGATAGGAGAGGCATAAACACACATGGACAAATATACATGATGCTTCCATAAAAGGACAATGCACAAAGCTAAAGGGGAAAAACCCAACCCTGAACTGACTGGCAGAGGGGGAAAAAAAATCAGAAAGAGAAGTTCATGAGAGGTGGGATATGGATGGCCACAATTCTGTAACGAAAAAAGTACAACTGTTGCTGAAAGCCTGCCTTAGTTCGGTGGTAAACATGATGGAGCCAATCTTAAACACATCCATAGTATATTAAGGGAAAATGCAGAGCAAATGACAAAAAATTGGAAGTTATGAAGTAGAAGCTGTTGATGAAGAAAACTAAGAAGAAACACAGCTCCATTACTAGTAGCACATCATCTGTATTACTTTAGTACATACAGAGTACTTTAAGGAAAAAAAGTAAATCTTAGTAATGGCACAGACCCACTAGTGTATGAAGATGGAAAAATTTAGCAGAGCAGGCAGAAGTATTCCAAAATACTTCAGTTCCTTTTAGGGGTGATGGAGAAAGAGACAGAACAAGGTATTTATATTATGGACGATGGTGAAATATTTTACAGCCCATAAGTAACTGAGGTTCTAGAAAACATCTGCTAAGAAAATATAAGTCAGATTTTGTATCCAAGAATATTAAAATATCTCGTCAAAGAGATATCTGATCTAATTAACTGCAAAATGGGTGAAACTTCAAAACACTGGAAAAGTCCTCATATTGTGTCATTATTGCAAAAAACACCCAAACAACAACAATAATTAACAGGGTGACTCAAGTAATTATAGGTAACCATGGGCTGGTAGCTCACCATTACTCCTAGGCAAAACATTAACTGAATCCCATTCAGTATGGGATTCAGCAAAAGAAATCGAGCATAATAAATGCTCCTATAATACAAGGTGTTTTTATGGAAAGCAGACCTAGTTAAAAAATCCCAACTATTTTCAGTCTTTGATAAAACTATGAGCTTTCTTTGGTAAAGATATTTGTTTAGAAACAACTTGACTTTGCACTGCATAGCCTTCCAGCTAAAAAGTTAGCACCGCATAATATCTATAATGAACATATTGAATGGATTAGGAACATGACAGCTAACAGATGTCAAAAACCAGTTGTTAGGAGAAATAATTGCAAAGTAGAAGTGTTTCTAGTTTAGATCTGCAAGGTTTAGTGTTATATCCATTGCTATTTAATGGCTTTAGCAGTCATCTGGAAGCAAACACAAAATCACTCTTGAAAAAAATGTGCAAACAACTAACAGACTATTAGAGGTGGTCATTCAGGCCAGTCATTTCAGTTTCTGCAGTCAGAGCTGGGAGAATTTAATACCACTAAGTTGTAAGTTTTATCTCTAGGAATAAGGAATATAAGCCATGCTGCAGAAAGGAAGAATGAGTCCTGGAAAGCTGTGACCTAAAGGAACTGAGTCTTGATAATCAACAAATTCAAATATGAGCTTCTAACTTGATGTTGCAGCTAAATGATATCCTTCTTGGATCTAGAAACAGGAATGTGATTTTACCTTCTAGAAACATGACAGGAGAGACCAACATCAGAAATGTCTTGTCCAGATATATATTTCACATTTTAAAAGGGATGTTGGAAAGTGGGATGGAAACAAAAACTTAAAAAAAATAAAGGACTAGCAAAGATGTCTTCAAGACATCAATCTCATTAGTCTATCGAAATGAAGATGTGAGAGGTGTCTTGATTTTAATGTAGTACCTTTTAAGTACCTTCATGGAGGATAAAAGACTACACATTAAAGAGATTCTCCATTGATTTAGTAGAAAAAGGTATACTATAAGCCATGACATTATTTAGACTGGAAGGAGCTCTGGGGGTTATCTTGTCCAAGCCCCTTGTCCAGAGCAGAGCCAGCTATGAAGTTAGATCAGGTTTTCCAGGGACGTGTCCTGTCAAGTCTTGAAGATCTCCAGGGATGAAGATTCCACAGCCTCTCTGGGCACTTTTTCCAGCACTTCGCCATCCTCACCATGAACACTTTCTTGCCTAGTATGTAATCAGAATTTCCCTTCCTGCCCACTGCCTCCCATTCTTTCTCTGTGCACCTCCAATTGGAGCCTGGCTGTGTCACTGGCTAATAACCACCCATCAGGTCATGGGCAGCAGCTGAGTATGACTTTGCTTTGCCTAGCCTTTAGGCAGAAGTTCCACTGAATTCATCAAGTTTTTAACAGAGTACATGTTTAATCACTGGAATAAACTAGCAAGCTAAGTGGCATACTTTCCTTGTCTCAACACCTACTCATCTGTAGATCCTTTCCTTGAGGACATGCCCAATGTAAGAATTATGCTTTGGAAGACAAGCTATTTGACCTCTCTAAGAGTAACTGAATGAAATGTGGTGGGTTATAATATATAAGAGATTAGGTTTAACAGTTCTTCCTAGCTTAAGTTTTATGCATTTGTAGGGATTTGCTGGGTGAAGTTGAACATATATGAAATAAACAAAAATAAAAAACATGTATTACGGCACTTATGAAGTTATGATAACATGAAATAAAATACCTGAATAGTTTGATTCCTTGGTATGGCTCTCCTCATCTAATGAAATCAACCTTAATTTGAAAGAATAAGAAAAAGATTGAGAAAATAATTCTAAGGCTATAGAATAATAATACATTTGCCTCTTTCAAGAGACATGAATCTTTCAAGAGATATGAATTATATCAACAACAAATAAACAGTAATTCAGATGGACTCTTGCATTTGCTGTATGTGCTGCTCTGTTGTTAACTTTTATTGTTTCATTGGCAGAAGTCTGTTGAAAACAAAAATTAAATTGAAGACCAACTATCAAAACCTACCACCCTTCCATTTTTAATCTAACTAAATCTCTGTAATGAAAAGTACAGGGTATTCTGCTTTTCCAGATTTGGTCTTTCATAACTATCATGAAGGAGGTACAACTGTTCCAAAAAAACCCCACCAACCAACCAACCAACCCACTTTGCACTTCTTTTTTTAACAGTAACTAATTAAAAATCAAGTCAGGTGAGTTTTGTCCCATGTCAGCAGATTTCTAAAAAACCAAATCAGCAGTGTTGATGAAAAAGCTCTTGACAGAAAAAAAGCTGTGGTTCATATGCAATTCTTACACAAAGGTAATCTCTTCAGTGAAGAATATATACTTTCTAACTGCTATTATTTTGTGTAAAGCCACTCAACCAGTAGGGAATGAAGCAGCCATAAGGCTGATGTGGTGGTGAAGAGGACTTGTGTAGGCACATTCCTCCTCTCCTCTAGTGATAGGACAGGAGGAACTCCCCTGCTCCTGAGGATAGGCTTGTGGGGAGCAGAGGAAAATTAGATTCAGGCCAAATTCTAGTATAATGAATGTTTACTGTGAATGGAAAGTTCATGAGGATTTTAGAAGCTTTGTTTTGTGTAATTCTCCTAGAATCTTAGATGTTTGTTTACTGTTTGTTTTAGACAGCAAAATTGTGACATATTTTCCCCCTCAGTTTTATGACAGACAAGGAAAAAGATAATCCATAAATAAAAACAAGTACAACCATGACATGGCACCTGATGCATTTGCTGGTAGGTGCCAATGCACACATCTTGCATAAATCATGCATTCATTCTAGAATTTTATATTCAACATTGAGGAAAACAATTGTTTATGAAATTCTTTACTGTTGTCACATCAGAAGCAGCAGATTCAAGGAACTGCTGTGGAAACAACCACCTGCCAAATGGTACTTGGCCGAGTCCTTTCTAATCTGAATAGCACCAAACCTGACCAATTTATAAACTGATTTTGGTCCATGGTTCTGAAGCTAAACAAGTAAAAGGACTGGAAAACTGAACTCTTTAAAAACCCGTTATTATAAATAGCCAAGCAAAATCCACTAATTATCAGTTAAGCTGTTCTCTGCTTTTTGACAACTGATCCTTTGCTGGGTGCTTCATTTAACCAGGGATAGTCAAAACAACAGGTGGCAGCAGGATTATATCAACGTTGCATCTCCTCGCAACTGAATCCTGATGGTCCGGTAGGGGAGGGATCGCATCTCGTTCTCCTCTTCTCCTCTCCCCATAGCAGCCCATTCATAAGTCTCTCTCACCTCAGAGCTACAGGTAACTCAAACCTTGATAGCATCAGCTCACTTAGATGTACTTTTTACTAAGTACCTACTGCTTCATTGGATTACTAACCGATGCTGTATACATTACAAAAACTAATCGCTGCTCAAAGCAATCAGGAATCCATATCCTATTCCCAGGTGAAAGGAGATGCTGCTGAAGGGAGAAATACAATGCTCATATATCTTCTCCCATGTGTAGCTGTTTACCATTTCTTTTACTAAAGAAAAAATGAAGCAAAAGCTGAAAAATGAAGAGAAGGCTAGGAAAGATGAAAAACATATAAAGGTTTAACGGGTCTTCTTAAAGTTCTTAATTTCACCATAAAGTTTATTAGTTTTCATGTACACAATACAGCATTTCAGGAATTCTTGTATTAAGCTTACTGTTAGCTAGTGCGATCAGACTAGCTGTGTCTATATTTCCATTTATAACTGTTTGGTGACTTTAGCAACCAGAAAGCAGATTATAGACAAAAATACTTATTCTTTTAATATATAGGCCATGTGACTTACTGACTCTGCTGATCTTGTACTGATTTGGTGCTCTCAATCTGCAGGTCCTCCTTTTCTGCTTTTTCTGTTAGTTTATTCACAGGATCTTGTAAGCTCTAGATCATAACCATAATATAAATGGAGAGAAGAAAACAAAAAGCTGAGGCTAAAACAAATAAGCCACCTTTTGCACGAAACATAATGAACACAAAAATGTAGTGGCTTTGCATCTGGAGTTTTAACACAACGGTAGTATATTTCATGACAATAGTAAAACAAAGAAAAAAAATGTGGCTGCTAAGTCCATTCTCATCTATTGAATAAAAGTTAGAGTCCCCAGCCCATCTGGTACAAGAAAAGCATTCCCAGGCACGTTGCAGGTCTTGTTTGCACTGCCCTGTTATCCAGGACAGATGAGTCACCAGAAGGGGCATTCCAGTTTCTGCTTGGCTCAGTACTTGTCTCTATGAGGAAATGTATACTTCAGTGTTTTAGAAACCAAACTAATGGACCTGTTGTATACTGCAGTTGCATCTCTCAGTAAGTTAATTCTTCTAATACCACAGATTAATTTGTCATGAGCATCTAGAGCACTGCAGACATCATGCGTCAAAAGATGAGGGATCACAAAAGCAGCAATAATAAATAGAGGCATTAAAGAAATTTACCTTACTCTGTGGTTGCCACTTTTTTTGGAAACTGTAACAGTGCTAACGAGAACCACTTGTAAGTATACTTCTTGGATTCTGAATAATGGACACTAATCACCTCAGCTAGATCACCTATGAATTAATGTTACCCTTTAAATGCATTTGTACTAGGTATTAATTAGATTGTGCTTCTTGTACTATTAAAATTGATGGGAATTATTCCATTGACTCCAAGAGGCCCTGGATTAGAGTTCAGAAACATAAGAATATGCACTATACTTGCACAAAAGTGCAGTGCAGAGAAAGACAGCAGAGCTTTGCATTACAGGCACTTGAACTGTCTTGGACACCTTCATAGTAGGGCACACAGGTTACCGTAATCAGGAGGTGATGGTGCAATAGTTGTGGTGCTCTGTCTGCCACTAAGTATAGCAGCACAAAGCCTGCCCCAAGAAGAACGTAATGGTTTTGAACAACAAACAGAACTACTTTAAGTACTGCCTAATTATACAAGTTAAGGAAAATTATCAGATGTAAAATCTTCTGCATCTTCACCAAGAAAAATACAAAGAAATCAGCATCCTTCTTTAAGGAACTACATTTTATGATGCTTCCTTCATGAGTGTTTCAGGAAATCCATATTTAAAGGACTGTGATCAAACCACGGAAACAGCATATAGAAATGAAGTTCACAAGTACCTTGGGAAGGAAACAGCATGATAATAATGGCAGTTAATATTTCCTGCATTAGAAAAATAAATGTAGCTCTGAAATATAGCTTCAGTTTCAATGGAGATTATGAAAAAAATTGTTAAAAATCACCAGCTGTATTTTAATGCAATAATTCAATTTAGCAATTTAGACAATATTCCCTCCAATTCTGATAAATAATGAAATTATTTTCCTCTCTCCTGCCTCTCTCTACTCCACATCCCAAAATACACTACGAACTGAGATATCTTTTTAAAAAGATTAAAAAAAAAAAATCTACAGAATGGGTATGAAATAAAACTGAATGTTAAAAAGCCGTTGTAAACTATTTTCTAAACAAGAACCCATGGTAACGGGATCACTATTGTCAGCATGTGTAGAAATGAAACTCTGATATTCTGTTAATTGTTTCAGGTTACATCAGAAGAAGGGAAGAAGTCCCATCATCTAGAAAGTGTAGGGATTAAACAAGGCTATAAAGATACAGACTGAGTTCAGACAAAAACAAGCACACTTCAGTTGGGTGTACGAAGCGTCCCTGACTTTGTTGGCTCAGAGGAGACATGTGTAACTTCACAGCACTTGTCTGGGTGCTCGTGTGAACTCACGTGGACTTTGTTGTGGGCTGCACCACTATGTGACTGAAGGTAGGATCCTCTCGCGTTCAGAAAGCTTTCTTCCTAGCTTCATTATTTCTCTTTTACTATAAAAATCAGGGTAAGACTGTACACACTAGTAGAGCAAGTTCACAGTCATTCACTCTGCCTATCTTGTCTGTTTCTACAACCAGAAGTCACCCGGTGATATTTTGTTTGCTCCCAGTACTCAGACTAAATATCCAAGCCGACAAGGGGTTCCTCCACTGCAGAGTTAACTCTGGTTCCAGCTTAGGCACCGTTCCTAGACTGACTGCTACTCACTTACAAAATTCCTTCACCTACTTCTGGGCTGCTTTCAAGTTAAGCCAAGGTCATCTGGACTGCACACAAACCTGTCCTCTGCAGTTAAATCACCAGAGTGTTGACAACGTGCTCAGCTCGCCCACAGTTCCCCCCAAGTGCCTTGGACAACTAATGCGCTTCCTCTCGACTGAGAAAGAATTAAAGCAACACAGCTAAGGGCAACTCCAGCAGCCAGGGATACATCCCAGGATGTCAGGACACATATGGAGAAGTGCAGCACCACTGAGGAGACAAAAACTTGGATATGTTTCATTTGGGGGGACAGCTGAAAGGGAAGAGGAAAAGCAGGTAGTCTCAGAATTTCCTCATGGAGATTCATCAAAAAACCCCCCAACAACCAACCCAAAAAAACCACCACAAAACCCCCTAGAGATATAAAATTACATGCAATCTTGCCTATGAGTATAAAGTCATGGTGCAAGAAACAGAAACAAGGAAGGATGCCATACTACAACAGAGGTCAGCAGGAGGCAACAGTGGTGTTGCACTCGTTTGGACAGAGCTCTTCAAACCATGTAAGGAGCACAGGCAGCAGCGTTCCACTTTGCACGGAAATAAATGGATGCACTGAGATTTACGCCTTTTAGCTCCCTTACCAGGGCTATTATTATATCTAGGCTCATACAAACTCTTCAGGAAGTTTGGTATTATAGCATTAAAACATAAAAAATGCAACTAAATATTCATTAAGTAACTAAGGCAAATAAACAGTGACAGAAATTAGAAAGAGGTATCATTCATGAAAAATAGGCCCTGAAATGAATTTGAATTAATTTGATATGTGGTAACTTCAAGATAATGAAACCTTAAGGGCTTTACTACAACAGCAGCCCATCATCTTTAATATTACAGCAATGGATACTTTTACATCATGATACATAGAGTAGTTAACACATTAATAATCATCTTTCATCAAGCATAAAACTTGCAGTTAGGAAATACAGCTGCAATAGCACAATTATACTACTCGCAGCATATACCCTGAAGCAAAGAAAACAAATGGGCTGCTTTTCATTAAGTGAATTTGGCAGACATCTCTAAAGACAATGTTTTCTTTCCAGAAACAATCCCGAGAGGCATTTAAGAGTCTCTTTCCTGAGGTAAACCTGGTATATGAAAATATTCATACTACAAAATACAAATAGCAAATTTCCAGTACCTAGCACCTTCTAATTTTTCAGTAAGACAATCTACGTCTAAGTTACATATTAACAGTTTCTTTAAATTCTTGTTTTAAAGTAAAACGCTAATCCTACGTACTTGTATACTTAGTTTAATTGAGAAAGATCACTTCTATGAGCAAAATTAAGCTGCTAGTATCAGAACTGGAATCATAAAAGACAAAATGAGTTGCAAGCACCAAATTCAAATTTTTCTTTTAGAAAAGATCCCTTTTAGGATATAAGACAGGGAAAAATATTCAAAAAGGGGTAACTCCTCATTAAACATAGAAATGGGCACATTGAAATATTTTATGTACGTTTTAAGCAATTATATATTCTGATTGTATATTTTTAATGCATAAAGTCAACAGCAGACACGGCATCTTCATTGGGTACATTTTTAGACCAAAAGTTTCTCCATCAAAAAGTACACTTACCCTAGATCAGCTACAGCCATTTATTATACTTCATAAAAAAAACCCAAACCATATAATCTCAATGTAGAATTAGCTTGCAGCTCCTTCTTAATGTATAGTTACTCTGGCATGAACATATGATGTGACTGGTAGGGATTCGTTCCCTAACCATAAACTTCTATTGTTATTCCACACCCAGGTCCATCAGAGGAGACACAGGACTCACAGGAGTCCCTCACCCTTCAGAAATGACAAGTAGAGGTGAGGTGACTTACCCTAGGAAGGAACCTGAAGTAGCAGCAGGCACCTATTCTCTTAGGCAACAGAATCTCACCTGATGCAACCACCAGATTTTGATTTAATCTCCTTAGCAATTGTTTAATATAAACAAACAGAAACTACCAACTGGGGGAAAAGAGATCATGGAGGAGACTTAACTTTTGTATAGAAAAGAATCCCACACTCTAGAGACCGAAAGAAATAAAGAACTGACACTAAAAGGCAGTAACATGGTCTTATTCCCAAGCAGCTGTTTTCTGAAAGCATGGAGTTCCATGAAATTCTGTAATATAAAACTACCTCCTGATTAGCATCATTTCTCAGTATACACATCACTGCAAAAACAGGAAATCGCATCTTTTCAGCACAGGAGGCCAGCAATAAAAATGGTTAAGATTCTCATAACAAAGTTAGGCTGCATCCTAAACACACTACAATATTCACAACCATTTTTACAGTTACTTTTTGCTTCAAGGGAGTCCTTGTTACACGTGTGTGGACTCAATACACATTGTATTTCTTCATCATAGATTCCCAACATAATTTCAAATTTAGATTATACTGAAAAGAGGAAGTTCGAAAGATAAGCATCCCCAAATCTCTCTCATCCTCCATCACAAGGGTACTTCACACTCCAAAACAGGTGCATTTTTTCTGTACAAGTTTCTCTCCAAGGTGTCCAAATGTTACTATACGTTTTGAAACATTGTATGTTTTGTTTAAATAATCACATTTTTAGATATAAAAGAGAATGAAAAATAAATACCCAGCAACAATATAGGCTACCTACACAAATTAGACTGAAATTGGTCTGTATCCAAGCAAAGAGAAAAAATTCCTCAGAAACCTTCTAACATCAGGAAGTTATGAGGAGAACAGCCCACCAACATGGTACCAAGGCTCCTGAGCAGGCAATGGTGGGGAAATAAAGGGGACTTTCTTTTCTGGTTTGGAGTTTAATTGGTGAGTCTGTAGGCAATTACTAGCAATGTCAAGATAACTATGCCCAACTGTCTCCTGTTGAAACCTGGACATAACCTCTGGCTAAAACCCATCTTCCATGACATGGACTATGGAAGAAAGAAGCTTAGAGTTATGTTAACTTCATAGCAAATGAGGACTTCTGCAGGACAGGATTCTTCAGAGGCTGGGTAAGATGAAACAGTTTATGAGCCTCCTTTTATTTTTGTCCTCTGCTCAGGAGAGATTGAGCTTGGAGAGAGTGAGCTTGAAATTTGTTTGTTTGTTTGGTCTGTTGTGATGTTTCAAGCTGCGGGAGTAACAGTCTCCACAAGCTCTTTATGCACTTCCAAGTTCAGAAACTGAACCCACATTCTAGAAAACAACTTTAAATATAGCATAGTCATGTACAGACAAGTTTGGTAGTCTGGGGTGAATTAAACCTTATACCTTCAGGTGCTTCTTCTCCAGGAGCTCTGGGGCAGCCACAGGTTATATAGCACAGTGCAGCCCAACTTCCACCTCTACATGTCATATGCACAAGCATTTCATGGATTGAGGCTATGGCTTGTAATTGTTTTCAAACTGGGTCGTCTCTCCAAGAAAACAGTGGCTTTGCCACAAGCTGTTCATTCCTCACTTTCCTCCCGCTGGTTACACTTCCGTCAGACCTCCTTCAGACAAATGTTATTTTTCTTCCATGCAAACAGGATCAGCCAATCACGTAGTTATTACATTGTAGAAAATAACTACAGGACAAAACATCTATGGGGCTAACTGGAAAGTTAATGAATTTTTTCACTGTTTCCCATTCCTCTACTGAACCTCAAATTGCAATGGGCAAAGCAACTTCCTATGCAGGGGAAAGTGTGACCAGGAAAACACACAGTGCCGAATGCTTATTTTTAGATACCTGGTGAAACTCTGAAGTCAGACTTCAGTCAGATATTGCACATACTCCATATTCAAAGATTACAAAGGATCAGCAAATACCACTAGTGAAGCAAAACAGTATTTCCCACAGCAGTTAAGAGGTAGTAAGTCTGAGTACTTCAAAACAGCTGTGAGAACCCTGAGCATCCATGTACTCATATTCAGTCCAATAAGGTCTTCTTAAAGAACGTGAGCTTTTAAGAACGGATGCAAAGGCAAAGTAGTATTAACTCACTTGTGGGATTTTGGAGGGCAACATAAATCCCTAACTTTCCTAGATTTTATGATTCTTTAGGAACAATCAAACAGAATCCCAGTTAGCACTTAAACACATACTTAAGTGCAGCCCTGAATAATGTCTTTCTTCGAAATAGGTCGCTTAGTCACTGCACTCTACATGCAGTGTTTGATCCTACTAGCCAGAAGTGCGTTTAACAGAAAACCTGTATTTAAATGAAAAGACAGGACAGGGACAAAATTGTCAGGCAATATATGGACAAAATATGAATGTGTGCTTTCTACATCCTTGTATGGTCTTTTATTTGTTATCACTGGGCAAACAAACATATCTATATATTCCTCACCTTTAACATAGTGAATTCATATGGCTGATAACCTTTGAAACTTTCATGGATGGCTGCCATCGTGTGCGAAGTTTTCTCCCAAAAATGAAGAAGTGTTGTCTGTAAGGTAGGATAAAATTTCAATGAAATGTTAGCTTTAACACCAATCTGCTTTCAGTGCAAATTTCACATCTCCCCTCCAATACTAGTTATATATTCTTACAATTGAATATTGCCATGGTAACCTCTTTAAAAAAAATATATTAACAGGAAATTTTTCTTTTGGAGGTCAACATTTTCTTTGGATACCTGATATGTTGTTAACACATGAGAAAGGAGGTTGCATCTGCTCGCTCCCAGAAGATCCACTTTTTGACAGACATCAGTCTTGAGTTTGTCAAAGTTGAGTTTTGCATGTCGCACTTGAGCTTGAACCTTCAAACAAAGGGAGAATTGTTTATGTAGTGATTTTTTTTTCTCTGTTTTTCTACCCTAGCTCCATGAAAGAGCAAACTAATACAACTTTTAGGGAAATCAGACAACTGAACAGACTCAAGTAAAATTTATATAGAACTTTATTACAGCATCAGTCCCACTGAAATTAAGACATGGCAGGCTAATATATGCTAAAATATGGCTCTTACTATCTTCTATGTTACTATTTTTCTAATATATTCAGTGAAGAAATTTTATTTTCTAACCTCTGTTTCTAAGACGAATATTAGTATTAAATACATACTGAGAAGATAATAACTGGAAAACATTTTGGTATCTCGTTACAGAAATACCAAATTCAAAGCCTGATCAACAAATTTGAAACTAAAAGTTTACTACATAATATACAGGTGCACAGGCAAAGACATCTCCATGTACCTAGAGAAGGAGACAAATCATACTGACAAACTTTAGTCAATCCGCAACTCTTGTTGACAATATAGCACTTCAATAACTTTGAACTGCTATAAAAATTTCACTCATTAAAGTTTTCCTTCTAAACCAGAGCGCTTTTCCTGTTTATTGCTATAAGAAAAATATCAAGGCCCCCTTTCTTAGGAGCAAACAATTTCAGTTCCAAAGGGTTTTAGTTTTTCAAATTATTCTTCTACCACCTGTTAAGTATATACAAGACACTGTCTGTTACACAAGCCGCACGTGTTTGACAACAATACTGGTATTCTCATGATCAGGTATCAGGGTAGAAGGTTGATGTAGGCGTTGTGTACTCAGGATGCCCCACTTTTATGACAGCTTTGTACACTACTGTAATACTATATTAACAAAAAAAATTTGTTTGTAACAGAATTTGTATACAAAATTTAGTTTTCTTCCAAGGAAATGGGAAACAAACCACAAAACATTATTATTTTCCTATATTATTTATACAATAAACTGTTTACCCAAAAAAACCTTCACAGTGAGAGATAACCCACTGAATGCAAATTAAATACATTTCCTTTCCTTTACTTGCCTAACTCAGAGAGTAAACTGAATTTGTTCAGAATACGCAGACTCAGTCAAACAAGATCTGACAAACTTGTATGCTCCTGATCTTCAGAAGTGAATCCAGAACCTTGCAGCAAACGCCTGTGCTCCTTGTGCGGTAAGGACAGATACATCCCTCATAACGCAATCCGAAATGTTAGGGTCACCATATTTCTAATCTTATTTTCCCAAACTCACTTAGAGTATAGGAGACCTCCAACCAGGCAGAAAAACAGCAAAAGTTCTGCATCACAAATTCATCAGATGACCTATTCACACAAATTGTGTGACTCTCGGGTTCCTGGATGTGTGGTAACTTTTTTTCACTGATCAGATTGGCTCTGCATAAGTAATATAATAGGGTCGCACATATCATAGGCCTGACATGTTCATAATGAAGAAACTACCATAATTCAAAATTTCTGATAAATGCAGCATCTCACGGGTGAGATTTTAATTGTAGAAAAAGATGATGCCTAGAAAAAATTACTTTTTTTTTTTTTTTTAATAAAGAAACAGCAGTGATACTCTACCTTTATAAAATACCTTTGTGGTTAGTGCATTCATCTAGAAGGGGAAGTCTTCCAGAATAACTCCACATATTACACCAAGCAATCAATGAACAAATCTTGAGTTCTGGTAATAACAACTACATCTCAAACTTCTGACCTGTTCCAGTGCTCTAACCACAAGACTACAGCATCTTACTCATGACTTGCTTTGCTGTTTTGGCATATTGAAGAGCTTCAAACCAAAGAGGTTGTCCAGAGCTGGAAGAGTTCTTTGATAATGAAGAGATGATGTGGTAAGGTGGAGACGCATTCCCACAGGAAGGAGGAAATTGCTCCCATGACTTCCACTCCGTGGGCAAGTATGACAAAAGCTAAGCTATGATATAAAAAGCAAGGAGCAGCTACTGCCAAGATATCCCGCTACAAAGCACAATATTTTGTGAAAAGCATTACCCAGTCGGAACTACACTGGCATGAGCTGAGGCTGCCTCTTAGTTTGGGATCCTCGAGGGACTTTACACTACTTCTTTTAGCTTGAGGATTTGTGCCTGGCTGAAGCCTGAGTGAGGCACCATGCTATCCATGCCAGGAGAAGTCCCATCCCACCCACAATTGTCTAGTCAAAACAGCAGGTGGGTAAAGAGCTTATAATTAGGCAGCAACAGAGGAGGACGGGAGCAGTGGCAGAAGCAGCGGGGAGGCTTTATCCAGTGCTGGATAACACACCTTTGTCCTGCATTAGGTCCTCAAATCCTTTATTTCCTTTAGCTCCGAGTGACAGAGAGCATGGATTTACAACTTTGGTCTAAAAAGGAGAATTGTGAAGAAAATCATGGGCCTGTGCAAAAAGGAACTTCTAATTGAAATCCAAACATGAGATTACCCATATCTATTGCCAGCAAGAATTGCTACAACAGGAAGGTATTTAAGTAAGAGACGTTGTACGGCTTTGAAAAACCCAGCGAGACTTGCGACTAAGTTCTAATCTCAGTTAGAGCCATGAAAATCCAGAGAAATTCAACTGATGTCAGTGGAAACGTGTCAAATATAGAACTATATTTTACAATGGTGCAGCTGAGATCAGAATCCCTTTCCTATCCAGTGTATCACAGCACTGGTGAAAACACAGTAAGAACAGCTGTGGCTTTGTAGACTGATAGTCCAAGTGAGCAAAGAATGTTAGTTCTGGGGAATATACTCTGTCAGAGATGGTGGGCCACAAGAAAAAAAAAAAGTACTACTAAATGTAATTATAAATTTCTACAACTGCAAGTGTGCACAAGGACTTTATACAACAGGCTGGGATTTGGGTCTACCTCATGTCTCCAACTCCTTACAAGAAGATAAAAAAAATCCAGAAAACAAAACCTGTAAAGTTTGAGTTGTAGTCTTCCTGCATAGAGTCTTCAGGGATATTTAGCAAGAAACAATGTCAACATTTATCTTAACTGAACATGTAATTAGCATCTCTTTTAAAAGCTAGAGCATTCATAAAGAGAAAGAGGTGATCCACAACACAATGAGGAATACAAACCTGTATGTTTGACATGCCCATACAGATGATTCAAAATACTTAATGCTGTGTTACCAAATGCCACACATTTCTCCTGCCAACCAGAGAAGACGCGATACTATGAGAACTATTAAATTAAGGATGCTTTTAGGTTTTTTGATATACTGAAGATAATATTGAGCAGAAGTACTCTCCTTTTTGCAGCAGCAGTGCAGGACAGCTGAGAAAGAACACCACATACTACATCAGCATGACCTTTTGCCTTTTATGTGTGCCAATAAATGCATTTTCAATTCAGATTATTATTAGACATCTTTTAAGATTACTTGTGGCTTCTGGAATTAGGTATAAAACCTTAGTGCTTACAAAGCATAATCTACTTAATACCACGTAAGTTATCAGAATGAACCTTTGGTTTTCTACTCAAGGGAAAGCTGATGTAATACATACTAATCTTCCCCTTTCTCTGCAATTACTCTCTAAGACATGAGAAACAGGACCTCATTGTGGTCTCAGTCCTGCAAATTTTTATTCATATATTTAACTTTATTAAAGCTGAACATACAAAATTTCTTCAAAATCCTAGTCTGAACAGTGTCCAGATTTTACTGACTGTAAGAGAACTGCACCAATCCAAATGCAATTTGGACATTTTACGAAGAAATAGCTCCTAAGCATCTGAAACTGTAGGTGCTAGCTGTGAGGTTTATGCTGTACAAGCAAATCTTATAGTACCACTGTCATAAAAAAGATTATTACTCTTCATCTTTTTCTTTTTCTAAGCAGCAGCCTCGAGCAACCTGCTTTTAATTTCCCAGTGCAAACATCTAAGTACAATATTTATGGAACAGAATTCTTTAAAGAGAGCACATAAGAAAACATAAATTTGGCAAGCAGTATCTTATTAAATCAATAGCTTGATAAACTATAAGTTACCAGATAAAAATGAAATAATTTTAAAAGACTAAAATAAATAAGTAAGTAAGTAAGTAAGTAAATAAATAAATGTTAAAATCCTAAATCCTAGGGGTTTGAAAGTCAGATTCTGGTATGCTTGATTGTAAGGGCAAATATTTGCTAACACAGGTTCCTAAACCTATATTCAAACAGAAAAGTCCCAATCTTCAAGAGTGTTAACATTAAAAAAAACCAAACAAACATTCAGACCCAGTTAAAAAACCCTATTCAGTATGTTCAGTTATTAAAATACAGATTTGTCATGTATTTTCAAGGAACCTTTATGTCCTCTACAGTACATCTGTGTTATTAGTTTCTTTTAGTCTACCATAAAATGCAAAATTTATTTTTAGTAGTAGCCCAGTTTCAGGGACAATTCAGCTAGTGAAGCATCATCTCCAAAATGAACTTATGTCGGATAAATGCACTAACCCACTTCACATACAGTATATTTTTATCTCAGCATTTCCAACATAGAAGCAGAAACAGATGCTTCCAGTCTAATTTGTCACCCAACCTTGCACTTACTCGATCTGAAAAGCATGCACAGTGTGTGTATCGGCTAGGAGGGGGGTAAGTAAATCAAGAGGGAAAAATGCCTGGAATATAGCAAACCTTCCTGTTGGGGGCTCTGGGTAAACTCTACCAGCAGATGGAATCAGCACAAATCTCTGCATTAAATAAGCATAGCACCTTCTGGCATACCTGATCGTAGTAAAGACTACATGAAAATTAAATGCAAACCGAAGTAGGCTGTAGTTTGAGGACAAAGTATTCAGCATATAGCGTATCTTACAGCATTTCTGCCTATAGCACAGAAAGCATAAGGAACTAGATTCTCAGTTCCCACAAAACTGTAATAACTTCATAGCTTGAGTGGTGTTATGACAAGAAGCACCCATTACTCTTTTACACGAGCATATATAAGCACTTACTGATTTTTTTTTTTTTTTTTTTTTTTTAAGATTGAT